AATAATTCAAAATTAAATAATCAAGCAATTGTTTTTTCAAATTCATATTGAGGATGATTAGGAAGATAGGAAATTTATCACTGACACTATGGAATGCCTCTTGACACTTCTTAATATATCATTTAATTTCAGTATAAAATAACCTCTACAAAGGAAGAAGTCCAATTAAAGAAAAGGAAATGTTCCTATATTGAGTTTTATGATCATGAACAAACATTTGATTAAATTATTGTGATGCTCCAGCATTGCTTACATAATTATACAATATAACTTTTTTCTCCTCTATGATTCTATCAAGTGGCCAGCAGTTGTTAATGGACCACTTATTTAATCAGTTAGATGGTTACCACTTAGATGGAACCAGTCCTTCCTTGAAATCACTATGTCAGAATAAAATTGAGACGAGAGTTTAAAAGATATAGTTAATACAAATTTACAACTTTAATAAAAATATAAAGTTCGCAAAAGAAAAAGTTTTCGTGTTGTCCATTTAATATTTTTGCATAAAAGTGGTATAGTCATACGAGTTTTAATAGTGATATTTAAATTCGGTAAATATCATGTTAATTGACATGATTTAAAAAACAAGTGGTAATGAAGCACTCAGGAACCAGCTTCAGGCAGTTTGCACGTTTAACTTCAATTCGTTTGAACTTTTGCTTCAAAACTAATCAGCCTTCAGTAACACTCCTAAAAGTGCAGTTTCCAGTGACCCCCAAATTATTGCCATCACCTCCATGTTAAATTATTTTAACCTAATATTATCCAATATTATGCTTATAGCAATAGTTCATTTTTCTGAGATGGGCTCTTGAATGAACAGATAATTAATCATCGAAATTGAACACTGATGAATTGGGGGCTGTAATCTGCCCTTTTAGCTCTTGCAAGAGATACAAGGAAAATCACAAAACATTTTTGACTAGGTATATAAAATAGGGAGTGGAGAAAGAATGACTGCTAAGATCCTGGCGTAGTCCGTTTGCGCTGCCCTAACAAAAACACCATAGACTGGGGGGCTTGAACAAGACACATTTACTTCTCACCATTCTGAATGCTGGGAAGTCCAAGATCCAGGCACTAGGAGATTTGTTGTCTGGTAAGAGCCCACTTCCTGGTTCACAGATGGCCATTTTTTTGCTGTGTTCTCACATAGTAGAAGGGGAAGGGAATTCTCTGGAATCTCTCTCAAATAGGGCATGACTACCATTCAGGAGGGTTTTTTCCTCACGACCTAATCACCTCCCAAAGGCCCCACCTGCAAATACCCTCACATTGGAAATAAGGTTTCAACATAAATTTGGGGGGGGGGATATAAACATTCAGTCTATAGCAGATCCCTTCTAATTCTGAAACTGTTCGTTTCTATGACCAAAAACGTAATCATAAGTACTTTGTGAAAAGGGGAAGCTAGCATTTTCTTTCTTTTCAATAGCATGCATGGAAAGAAAGTTAAGCACAATCTGGAATGCTTGAAAATAGTTCAAAATTTTTTAATAGGTTCTACAAATGCAATTTGATATTATTTGTCCATGCACTTAAACACGTCTATGTTATTGCCTGTATTTTAAAATATAGCAAATACTGCAACAGAAATTCAAATAACCAAAAATCAGATTTAGACATGCCAATAGCATCATTTTTGCTTCAGATGACTCCTTTTTAAAAATCAAAATAAGTATTATTCCAACTCTTCTTTTTCTTCTCCTTTTACAAATATAACTGTTATAAAATTGGTGTGTGTTTTTATGCATATTTTTTCAATTTTTGCCAAAATTTATGTATCCAAAAACAACATATGATTTTATTTTGTATTGTTTCTATTTAAATGGTACCACATTGGGCTTATCGGGGTTTTTTCTTTTTAATCTTCATTACAATTGAGATTTGTTTGTAAAAAAATTACTTTTATCAGCAAAGTGAATGAGGTATACTTACATGTATCAGCATAGACTCTTCTCCAAAAAAACTTCTATGTTTTTTCCCTTTCAATCCTACCTTACTGACCTCAGCATAAGGCACTTATCTCTCACAGATGTTAAGGTATTCAATTTTTATCCCAGTAGACATAATAACAGTTTTTCTAATATTCCTGAATTTTTATTTTTCCCTGTTGTCCTTTTGTCAAACAGCTCAAAATACAGTAGTTAATTATTTAAACCTATTATATTTTGACAAAATTATATGCATTATAAAGACCCCTTATTATTTTAAGATGAAATAATCTTCCTCAATAATCAGGCCTCCAAATACACTGAGAAAGACTAGTATTAAAAAGCAAAGTTCTTCATTTTGTCTAAAATGAACCAGGCTTAATTGCGAATCAGTTAAGATAAGAAAAAACTTTGCATAAGACAGATAGAATGTGATCATGTGCTTTTTCTCCTCAAAATCTGGCCTTTGAATAAAGAAAGCTCTCTAAAAATGAAGAAGCACATTAACACTGCATTTGATTTAAAATCCTATAAACCCAACTATTTTTTTAGAAGGGTGGTAGGGTCAGGACATATACTTGTCAAAGTTGTACTTTCCTAACCTTTATATATTGTTTCGAATTACTCTAGGCAATCGACTCTGAATATGCCAGTTATATATTACCACAGTGACGGGGCAAAGCAGGTTTTTTTCTCCTCTCATTGCCACAATTTTGTAATTGGTTCCTGTACCAGGTATTCACATTAGACATAAAGAATGTTGACAGAAGAGGCACAGACAAAACATCCAAATCTTATAAAGCAGCAATCAATTTAGCTGACTGACGAGCTCTGGACAGTTTGCTTCAACTTTTGAAGGTTTATGGAAAATTCTTTTTAGTTTCATCTTATCGTCAAGGTCTAGCTGCCAGCATAATATTTAAGACATTTGGACCTATCAGCATTTGCCTTAATATATTCTGCGGTTGAAAATGGGATATATCTGCCAGCATGCAGCAAATATTGGGAGCTCTGATGCAGTTTAATTCAGAAAGGAGCCTCCTTCATCAGTGGTACTCAAGGGCAGTTGGAACTGCCAGTTCAGGGGAGGCACTCCTTAGAGTGTCTACAAACACCTTGCCTCTTACCCCTACCCACAAAACTGACGGCTGTGAGAGCAGCAGCGGGGAGCAAGAAAACCAAACAGGTGATCTAGTCTCCTTGAAATCTCCAGCATGGGCCGCCATCTAGAAGCCCGACAGAATCCCCACACCCATTCATTTCCTTACGCATTCAACCAAAGCATATGCATTGAGAGGGCATCAAGCTAAATAAATCAAACAGTATTCTCAGCCAGCACTGAGCTTACATTTTATTGGAAGGATTTAAACAATAAACACAATAAACAAAGAACACAGCAGAAACAAAACAAGCAAATTCACTGCCGTCAAGAAGCTTGATTTCATTGGGAGGATACTAACAATGAACAAATGGAATTAGTAAAATATATAGTATCCTGGGTGTCAGAAGTGTTTAGGAAACATCAAAACTGGAAAATGGCATAGAGAGTGTTGCAGGATTTCTATTTTAAAAAGGGATGTCAGGGAAATCCTCCCTGAAGGAGTCTCATTTGAATAAAAACTGCAAGGAAAAAAAGGTGAGCCTGGCAGATGTAAGTTAGACAGACAGATACATACATATATACATACAAACATACATACATATAAAATAGATATATGCTATATGTATACGAAATGTGTATATATATGAATATGTATTATGTATATGAAAATGTATAGGAAAATCTTTCCAGGCAGAAGGGCCATCAAAATGGAAAGGCCTCACTCAAAGCAGGGACAGGACAGAATGTTATATTATCAGCTAAAAACCAAGATGGCAGAAGTGATGTCAGCCCTGGGACAGCAGAAGGAGATGAGACTAGAGAGGGAATGGGGACCAGACTATAGAGAGGCCTTGCCAGATCTTGCAAAGTCTTTGGCTTTTACACCAAGTGAGATGTTTGCACAGAGGAGTGACATAACCTCACTTAAGTTGAGAATAGGTTGAGTAGGGCAAGTGCAGAAACAAGGAGACCCATCTGAATGCTCTTCAATTCAGTCTGGATGAAGACTCCAGAAAATGTCAGCACAAACTCAAACTCACAAGTTGCAGCTGACCTTTGACAAAACATATTCATCGGATGTGGTGAACGATTGTGGATCAAATTTTTTCAGCTTCTAAATGTTGTGGGCAGGAGTACACATGGCGGATCAAGAAAATATCAATAATAAGTGGGCTGTGAGAATTCGCACGGAGGGAGGAGATAAGAGCGTGAGGGAAGAAGGGACATTTCTCCGAGCTAGCCATATGAGATTCATTAGCTCTGTGGATACTGAAGGATTTGTTCCAGTAAGCTGCAGAATTTGGAATGCATTAGGATGGATGAGAATGTGCAGAATCAGATATGCGCATTAGCCAAATCACTCTTGCTTGTGATTAGAGAAGGGATCACCATTCTAAATCCCTGTCGGTTTTGAAAGGAATAATCATGATGCACTTTAAATCTGCTAATACAAACTTTTGGATATAGACTATGACTTACTCCTCTTGATGTCTGAGCACTTGAAAATTCTAGGAGAGAGGAGCATTTATTGATGCTAGCAGTATGGCGGCTCCCAATATTTATGTGACATCAACATGGCTTCATGTATTTTACTGACAAAGAAATAAAAATACAGGTAGTTAGGGAAAAAACTCCCTAATGTCAGATTTATATTTTACTCATACATATTTTAAATAAACTCCTTACTTAGAAACAGTCCATTTTGTAAAGTTCAGAAAAAAAATAATAGAATCAGCCAGTTCAGTTCTTTCATTTCAAAAAGAGGATTCTGAGATCAAAAGAAGTTATGTGACTTGTATATTTGACCTTAGTTCTGGCACTTTCTAGGACATATAAAAATGTGAGGTAGCTTCAAAGAGTGCCACGCTCATAATGCCAAGTACATGGAAAAGAAGAAGAAAAAAAAAGCCAGTATACCTCTGCCAGAAATGAGTATTATTTCACCTTTCCTTTGTGTCACACAGGAGGAAGATATAGGACTGGGAAATAGAGCTCCTGGTCCAACGCAGCCTCACATTGTTGATTCACCACCAATACCAAGCCAGCGGTTCCTGAAGATGCAGGCAAGGCAGTCAGGCACGCTCCCAATGGGGGCACTAGTCTTATTTAACAGTCTCAAACAGCTGGAGAGCACACAGCTAACGACCACTTGAGCATGAAAGTGTCTGATGACTGCATATAAAATATGACACACGACGAGGAAAATAGGTAATAAAAATATACAACGGAACAAACGTGCAGTGACAGTCCAAAACGTGTAAATTGCATAACAAATTTTAAAAGAGAAATGTCAATGTAATGTGCATTCTTATAGCAGAGTATTTCTTTCAAATCCGAAATCATTTAAACAATCAGAGAAATTCTCTCTTTTCAATCAACTCAAAGCTACGTGAATGGAAAATGATGCAAAGTTAACAACAGAGAAGAAAACCCCAAACAGAGAGATTTGCAGGTCTGGCAGGAGTTTTTCAACAGCGTTTAAGCATTATGTGAAGAAAAATATTTATGAAATAAAACAACCCTCTGGTCTGAGGATCTCTTACCTTGAAGAAAAGGAAAGCTATCAGAAACAATGCAAGCAGAAGGCAATGCTGAATTCCAAATGCAATTGCAGGGTGAGCTGTACTTTTAAATAACCGCATACATGTTTTTAGAGATTTGTCTCATGGCATGTCTTTTTTTTTTTCTTCACGTAACTGTCAACTATATCAGCGATGAAAATGAAAAATGTATCACTCAAAACTATTTTTTGCGTTTTCTGAAATGTACCTTATCTAGTGAGAAATGAAAATTCTCTCTCTCTTTTTTTCCCCAAGAAATACATTTCTGTAACATTTCTTCACTATCAAAGGATAACAGCAGGTTGAAGGAAAAAACAGGACATAGCCAGATATCCGCAAGGCAACCCTTTTTTGGACAACTCACTAGGTCCTTCAAGGTATAGAAGAGGCCAAAACCTGGCCATTGAGAAGCAGCATCCTGTTGTGATTTTTAGACCAATAACACGGCCTTTTTTGCATTGTTTCTTCCATAGCACTTCTTTCCGTCAGTCATATTAAATATTTCTGCTATTTAGATTTTTATATTCTGATCCCTACTCTTGAATGTAAACTCTATGAGGTCATAGATTTTAGTCTCTCTTACATAAATTTATTTTTCCACTGCCTCAATCAATATTTAAATGAATTAAAAATTACCAAATATCACTGAAAACTGTTTAAGCCAATTGTGGGTAAAGAACATGAAGAAAGAGGAAAGAAACCATAATTCTCTCTGAGACATTTAAAGAAAGCTATAACAAGGTGACACAAGACTGGGGTATGGTGGTCACGGAGGTATGAGAGGGTTCCTATGTCGTTATATGCAATTGTGTGGCTATTTCCAAATTAATCACCACACAAAGGTGAAGTTTAAGTCATTTCATTTTACTCCTTGTGTCATTAACCAGATCGAAAAGGTTTTTTTTTGTTTTCTTTTTTAAAAATAGTAATTTTGTAATTTCATTTCTGATTCTAGATTCAGAAAAGAACTTAGAAGTCAACTCTTTAAATGCCCAATATTTGATGAAAGCAAAATAAACTCAAGATTTTAAGGTATTAAGGTATTATGGCATGTGTTAAAGATCCCTTGATCGGTGAAAAGGGCAGGACTGGAACCCATATTCTGAAATGCTCATGCTTTCTATTATGAACTTCTATGAACCACGTGCCTAAATGTTCTCACACAATGCTGACTGCATCACTTCAAAGAAATATAATAAAGCTAAAAAATGCTCCCAGAAAGACAACTAAACTATCATTAAAAGAGTGGAGCAGCTTTGGAAAGGAAGACCTTAAAAATTATAATCTTCAATCTGGAAACTCTAACATCTATTAAATCCTGAAGACAGTGGATAGTGTGAAAGCCAAGCTATCCACGAACTTCCATTATACCAGGTCTAAGGGCACCCTCTGGAGTTTAAGAGATAAATTTAGGACAAATAACGGGAAGTGCAATACTACTTTATTTATTAGGTAGAGTGCTCAGGGAAGTAACACAGGCTGAAAATATGATAGCTTCATAAAAGGTTTAGATATAAAAACATACAATAAATCAATTCTAGACTATTAAAGGGAAGTGGCCCAATATACCATTTATACTGATTTTATCTTTGTCAAACTACAGGGCTCCCCTTTCTCTCCAGTTATATTTGAAGTGATCAAGCTTGAAGATTTTCACACTGAACTTAAAGAACCAAGTGTCTTAGTAAGATGGGCTAAATAGTAAACGAGTTGAGGTGGTACAGTACTCTGCTCACAATATGTACTCGGTAACTAACTGTCATATGAATTAATTTCTTGCAGCCAAGGTAAAATTTCCAAGTGACCATTATGAAAATGTGATTAGACACATATATTGAACTCTCTCTGAGGGTGCATTCTCTCCAAGAGTTTGGATTAAATCTCTACATTTAGCTACAAGGTCTTTCTGATATATATACTCACAAATTCATAAATATGAAAAGGTATCAAAGATTATTTCTCTACCAGATATGCATTCTAGATTTTGGTATGAGGAAGGCTTCATTTCAAAGCATCTTGGTGTGTTGGTGCTAGGGATCTATAAAGTTGTCTCACAGCATGAGGTCCATCACATTTTAAAATGTTAGCCTTAGCTGCAGAATAAAATACCATCATTACTTATTAGTCACTGAGTGATTAGGATTTGCAACATTTTTACTAAATATTGAGAGAGATCATTTCAGATTTATTGTGGGCTTTTATGTTGAATCGTGTTCTTTTATCATGATCCTTGCTGTTACATTGATATGAACGACTTGTAGAATAATGTTAGTGGAACATGTATAAACTAAGCATAAGAGTTTATATAAATTATCTGTAAAGTGATAAACATTTGTGCTTATAATATGGCACAAAAAGTAACAATTGCAAGGAAAAATCACAAAACTAATAGCATTCAAGCTAACATTAATTTTATGCATCAGTTTCTTTTGGTTCATAAAAACGAAGTGGTTGATGAGCATGAATATGGCACTGAGAATTGAAACGAAAATTCTTTAGAGCTTAATGCAATACAGCAAAGTCCACTCTAGATTCACTTTTCTCTATATGGCAAAACTTTCAAATAATTCATATAGTAATTCTTCATAACCTCACTTGAAGCTTGCTTGGCAAAAACCCCTAAGATATATAATAGTTCCACCTCTTTTCTTTTTTCAGAAACCTAAAGGAAGCATGATCATAATGAAAAAGTGGGTCTTGAAATAACATGAGAGTCATTGTTACAAGATAATCATTCACCTTAAATAAATGGTTATATTAAAATATATTCATATTACCATATGAAAGCTCACAGTTTTCAAAACTCATGTAACCTGAATCAGGTTTGAGAAATACTGGTTTATGTAACAACCTCAACATGGTTCTCTAATAGTGAATTTTTAAAGAAATATAAAATCCCCTTTATTGTTAGAGCCACACAGGGAAGAAATGCTATTGAGTGTTTTCCTGGTAAAACTACTCAGTTTACTAAAACTCAGTGAGTAATATGTTTGTGTGTACATGGGTACATGCACTTAACATTTTTTTTTTGCTTTATATAAAGAGACAATGACTGAGTCTACCTATGTTATAAAGATGAGTTCAAGAATTTGGAACCTTTGATTTTTCATACGCTCGAGGCTTCATGATGAATGACAAGCTTTTTTTAATTAGTTTTTTTGAAAAATTAATCCATATTCACGATAACACTTTCTAACAAAATTATGTATATACTGTAGACACATAAATCTCTTACCCCTGTACCCAGAGGCAACCATTATAACTATCTTCCTATTCATATTAAAAAATATTCTATGTACATTAAAAAATATCATTATATGACTTATTTCCCAATGAAAACAAACAAACAAAAAACCTAGTATATAATGCTAAGAGAATGACATGAAGTCCACTGGGGAATTTATGACTACTTTTAGAGTTAGTTTTTTTAGTGACACTTTTCCTTTCTACAATGCAAGACTTCTCTTCATCACTCATAAATTTTGACAACTCAATTTTATGCATTAATAAAATAAAATAGTGCTTAAAGTATGGCATGTTTGGTACACTTTTAAATGCTAAACTCCACTTATTTTTAGGTCAATTTTCTCTTATTGAAAAAGAAACAATAAACATGTTATTAATAAATAAAAATTTTATAAAAAGGAAAATAGGAGTAGAAAAAATAGATGACACATTTTCGCCTCTCAGGAATACACACATGACTTATATAAATATGGGGTGGAGGTTAAGAATAGAGGGGCAGGGACCATGTTATAGAGTTTGCATTCTGGCTCTCTCGCTTATTAGCTCTGTGATTTGTGAAAGTTACCTGACCTCTCTGTGCCTCAATTCTCTCATCTGTAAAATGGAGACAACAATGTTTCTTGTCATCTTTAAGATGATTAAAGGAAATAAGAGATGTAAATCACACTGTTCAGTGTCTAGCACTTAGAAAGTTCTCAATAAATGATAGTTATTATGATGGGTATTACCAATATTTAATCATTTACTTTAAAACTTTTTAATAACAGAACTACTATCTTCTACAAATAATCAGTATTAGTGAAAGAACAACGATAGGTTTAATTATTATATTGAGTATGCACTGTACACCACACAACACTAGCACATTCTATGTATAATCTCAGTTAACTATAAAAAATAAGTCCATTTGTGAAGTTGATATTGCCTGGGTCTTCCTTTTACTGTGGGGAAAACTTTGACTACTCTTATAGCATGGTGATAATGCAGGGATGGGAGTTTTAAGACATATGTTCTACTTCGTATTTTTCCAATAACTAGCCATCAGATTAAGAACAAGTTGTTTTCTCAGGGAAAAAAAAGCAAAACAAAACAGAGTTTGAAATAAATAACCCCTGGTCACACAAATGAGCCTAAATTGAAGTGGAATTTAAACAAAACTATCTGACACATCAAAGATGTGAATTCCTTAGTGTGACCATCCGTCATTTTAATAGCTCTGGAACACCAGTTCCCGTCAGCAAACATAGACTAGAGAAAACTACGCTTCCACCAGTGGGAGAAAGTGGTAGACGACAATCAAACCATGAGGAACTCTATACGGAGCGGAGGAAAATCACAGACACCAAATGTTAACTGAGAGTATACAGTGTTTGAGAGCACATACGAGCAAATTGGTAGGGATGAAGAATGGGCAGAATCAGACACATATTATTTAGTAGCAAAATTCCATTGGCACTCCCAGTTTGGCTTACCTTAAAGAAACAAGAGTTTTGGGTTGATTTTGAAGCATTTAGGTTTATATTAACACTACTATTTGATGCATATAAAATGCCAAGAATAGTGGTTGATTGTTTTTTTTTTTTAACTTTATTCGTCCCAATGAGTTCAGGGTAAAATAACACCTTTTCTCATGAACTTTTAAAATAGTATCTCTTTTATGAACTTTTAAATCATGCCTGAACTCTTTAACCTAGTATTCAAGTTTCCTCATAAATGTCGTTTTCTCGGCATAAACCCAGCTTGATTCCTTAGTGACCAACAGAACCCGGACAGTTCAATCCTGTCGTTACTCATAGTGATACAAATTCTGGAATCCCCACCCCTTCCATATATTCTAGAGACCCTCCAAGCAAAGGATTTCATCTCCCTCATTACCTCAGCTTTCTGATTTATACTGATGATTCCTAGCATTTACTGGTTTAGAGTTATTTTAGTGCTTAATTATATACCACCAGGGTACCACTTGTGCTATTTTATATCTCAGTAACATATGTCTCTTACTTTTTCTATTATATCCATCTTAGTGTATAACATAAAGCTCTGTGCGAAATATGTGCTTAAGACAATAAATGGCTATAAAGCAAGAGTCAACTAAAAAAGAATCAAATAACAATTTGTATATTTCAAAAGAAGTAATGTCTCCTTCAATGTTCCTACTTTCAAGAATAAACACTCGCTATTTTCAAGGTATTTATGAAACTCTCTCGTTTTTTTTTTGAGGAAGATTAGCCCTGAGCTAACTACTGCCAATCCTCCTCTTTTTGCTGAAGAAGACTGGCCCTGAGCTAATATCCATGCTCATCTTCTTCCGCTTTATATGTGAGATGCCAACCACAGCATGGCGTTTGCCAAGAGGTGCCATGTCCGCACCTGGGATCCCAACTGGCGAACCCCAGGCCACCGAGAAGCCGAACGTGTGAACTTAACTCCTGCGCCACCGGGCCAGCCCTGAAACTTTCTCATTTAAAACTGATTTTACAATCAGTTTATGGGCTCAGACATAAAAACATCATAGTATTTTCGAGCTACAATTATTAATCTGCTGTGCACATTCAAGTCACCCAACAAGAATTTTAAAATATATATGGCCATAACATAACTCAAAAAACTTTAAGGCAGTAGGTCTAGTTCCAGGGAGAGGCCAGTTGTGCATGTTAAATGAAAAGGATAATAAATAAGTAAATAAATAAATAATCAAGTTGAGAAAAAACCTGCTTTAGAGTTTGTACCTCTAAAAAAGAAAATGTCTTTAAGTTAAAGAGGTAGAGAATATGGTCCAGTAGAAGGCAAAACATCTTTTGTGACTTTAATGAGTATTTACTCTTTCAATTATTCTACAGTAGTATATTTACTGGTAAAATGTAAACCATCATATATGTCCTACTTATCTTATGCATAATATCCTTACCACACGGTTGCTACTATACAGGAGATACTGAGTTAGGTGTTGGGGTTGTAGATAAAAATCAAAATGAACCTGGTTTTAAGAAAGTAATTATATGAAAAAATAAATAAGGCATAAAAAAATAACTCAAGGCAGATGATGACCCACGGTAAAAGCGAGGTATAATACAAAAAAGAGTTACAAGTTCTCCAAAGCTGGAGAGGCCGTCTAGCGGGAGAACCCGAAGAAGATCTTCAGGAAAAAGTCACATTTGAAACATACCTGAATAGGAGGAGTTTCAGCAGGCAGAGCCTGAGGGCAGAGTGACCAATCCAAAGTTAGAAAGATTAAAAATAATAATAAAATAATAATGCATAAAATAAGGAGAATTCTCCTAGAACTGAGAGCTGGGCAACTTGTCTGCATCATAAGGCAAATTACAGGAGTTCAGGCAGAGGCACCCACAACGATTTAAAAAAAGAAGGAGCAATCAGATCAGATTAGGTTAAAGAGTCTGATTTTACCCAATAAGCTGTGGTAATGCTGGTAATATTTATTAGGAATTTATTAATTGCAAAACAAACCAAACACCTTTGCTAAGTGCTTTATAAGCATAGTTTCATTTAATCCTTTCAGCATATTTAAGAAGTAGCCATGTTATTATCCCATCTTCCAGACAAGGAAACTGAGGCTTAGCCAGATCAAATACCTTGGTCAAGATTCCCAAGCTCCTTGGTGGCAGAGGTAAAACTCCATGTGGATCTGCTCAACTCTGGCGTGAGAATAATTCACCTCCATGTAGTAGCATCGCTCAAAATGGAGTTGTGCAGGAAAATTTTTGAGCTAGTGAGTGACACAAAGTGTCACAGCTTTAAGGGTTTAGCTTTAATCTCATCCCTGAAGGAAGTCTTTCTTGTACTCTAATGTTGACATATGCCCTCAGCTTTAACCTCATAGTGCTCATACCGTTCCTCGCAATTATCAGACTATTGTAATGTCTGTTTTGATTGTCTCCTGGAAAACACCAGAAGTCATTCGAGGTTAGGAAGTTTGAATATGACTTATTTTTTACCATATCTTGGTTCCTAACATATTGCCTTTTCCATAATGCAAAAATCAATAAGTATTACTGAATGAATAATTGTATAAAAATGCATTAAGAAAAATATATTTTAAGGAGAGTTAGAAGCGGGGAAGAGAGAAGGTCAGCCAATCGGTCTTTGGATTTGCAGAGAACCACGCCTCCTGTTTCTTCAGTTTCACCTTTCAGCAACCAATGAAAAAGTACTTACAAGTGCCTCTTCATCTCCCCTATAATTAAATTGGCATGTTCCCCCATCTACTTCCCCTAAAACGTCATTCATCCTACAAGTAAAACACTAAACAATTTATAACATATTTACCTTTACATGTTGCTCTCTCCGACCGTATTTTCACCTCATTGAGGAAGGGACCATATTATCGACAACTGTTTCCCATGTTCCTAGTGAACTCTATAACATATATTAAGAACTCTACAATATAGTTGAATCGTAAAAGAAAGAGATAATTTGAACCTCTTCTGTACTATTGAGCTGGAATCAAGGAAAGGACCAGTTTGATACTTTTCATACAGTTAGAATTAAAAGGATTTGTCAAATAAGCATATTTGAGGCAAAAAAAAGTTAAGATTTATAGGCAATGCATTTTTAGCCCTAGGACAGTGAGAAAATGGTAAGAAGTGTAAAAATGGTCTCAGGATGATGGTTAATAACGGCAATCTCCCTGTCATTTGAGGGTAAATTACCTTGGGTAAATAGGTGTGCTATGTTTTAGACTAAAATTGAGAAGGAACTAGAAATTTCTAGCTAAAAGCGTCTTGGGTTGTTTCTTAGTTTTTACTCACCTGGGGAGGTATTTCCATATGTTTCTCTCTATATTTATAATTATCCATTTACTAGTCATTCTTTAAAATCTTTCCTCCAAGCAATAGCGCTAAATGTGAATATGACATCATCAAAAAGTTTCATTTAAATTTTAAACATTTCCAAACCCTTACATACACCATTTCAATTTCTGTCTTCCTTTTGGAGTTGAAATAAATACTTTATTTATTTATTTGAAATAATACACAGTGTGCAGCACTGCATAGAAAAAACCCTAGCAGTCTTTTGAGAATAAAAGCGAATCAATAGTAATATCTCTTAGAATAGAAGCACTTTTGTTGACAGAGGGAACATGGTTTAACGGCAAGCAAAGCAATCTTTGTTTTCAGTCAGACTATTGGGCTGTGCATGAGAAATGACATGTTCTGACCACTCGCTTTACGTTAAGAGGCAGCCTGGCATGTTCGAAACAGAGAGAAAATGATTTGCTTGATAAAGATGGTCACTTCATGGCTTTAACACATAACATAAAGACAATCTTCATTAGATTTTTTGTTATTTTATAAATTTGTCTTCAGTTCCCATGGAGCTCTATTCTTTTAAAGTTATTCATCCCAGTGCCCCAAAGAGAGTCAATTCAGGAGCTGTTCACATTGCAGCTGTAAATGTAAAAAGTGACCCCACGTCCATCTTGGAACTGAAGTCTTCCTGGGGTTTTAAAGACAACGAGGATGATGATGAAAACAATATTTTAGGATGGTAACGTAATGTCTCCAGATAGATAAAGAGATAGATAGAAGATCAATAGATGGATCGATTGATAGACAGAGGCTAGATAGATAGATGGATAGACAGATAGACAGGGATAGCTATAGATATAGGTATAGATACACAAATTAATTAAAGGACTTTTTTGCTCATCTATTGCTATGGGAAATGTAACAAGAAAATCCATTTTGATCAAATTTCTTTATTCTTACCTTCAGATAATAAAGTAAATAATGAGGAATAAGACCTTATAAGCAATGAATGAATGATCCAGACTTAAAAATCTAGAAGTGCCTATTTCCGGCTTCTAGAAGATGATTGTATTATTTTGTTTAAGTCCAGGTACTTTCTTGTAAAATTACAAGAGCAGCAGTAACCATGGGTCCTGCTCTCCTGCAAGCGTGTTATTAGGCTACAAAAAATCTAGTAAAAGAGGCTTGACATTTGGTGAATATGTACATTACACGATGCAACTTATAAATTATTGAAGTATTTATGAAAAAATGAAAGCAAACAAATTTGTCTGTCTGAACTTTCAGCGAGCCCCCTGAAAAACCTATTCAATGCCCAGGGGTTGCTGGCTTCAATTCTTCGCTTTTCATGGCTGCATATTTACATTAAAGTTTTACAAAATGCAAAAATCACAATAATGCAGTGCCCGGTTTCTTTGTGCTGCCGACCAGAAGATGCTGGGAGGAATTTTGCCCTGAGAAAGTTAAACGTCTAAGAAGGCATTAGAGTTTACTTGGAGCTACACAGTAAAAATACATTTTAGTTTAAAAATTACACCTTGCCTCAAAAGCGCTGTTTAAAATATTTTGTTTAGATTTTTGCAAAACAATATTTTTGTCATTCATATTGACATGTAAAAATTAAACTGGATTAATCTAAACATGATCCATTTTTTACGCCATTTTATAGTCCTTAATGTAAGTTCACATTGGTTTCAATGCCTCCGAGGGCAATGTTGCGTTAGAAAAGAATCTGAAACCAGGGAGCATTGCCTAACATACTATGATGTGGCCACAAGGTGGCTCCAAACACTGCAGTATGTTATTTTACCTCTAGACAAGTGAATAGAATTTTACCAGAAATCTTAGCAGCAATTTACCCTATAAATGGGTCAATACTTCAGAAACATAAACTCATTTCAACCTTCTGATTAAATTTTGAAGTATAATTTGTATGATTTTAAAATGCAGACATTCACAACAACATATTAAATGGACGAAAACCTTGAAAAATTTGAAGGATTTTGATAGGAAATGATTCCTTAGTCTGCATAATTAATTATTCAACATTTGTCTTGTTTAGGTTTTAAAAATTAATTTCTCCTCTAGTTTTGCACAATTTTTTTCTCCCTTGATTTTCAATTAAAGGAAAGGAAAATATTTTCAAGTTAATGAACTTTTTCTTTAGCATAATTAAATAATTTTAAAACTAAAGAGGAAACAGATGTAATTTTTAGCCCTCAGAAGGACTAGTTCTGAAAGTACAAACTTTTAGAAAATCAAATGAACTAAAGCATACAACATTAATAGGATATTTTAAATTAGCTATCCTAATCAATCAGCCATCAAGTTAAATCATTTAGCCAAATATTGTGAAGCCGTGAAAAAAGTGAATGTTATTAAATGATCACAGCTTTCAATAAAGATGATATGAAGAAGACTGACTTTGATTAAATAAGTAATATAGATATATTATAGATATATCTATACATAGCTATATATTACATATACATACATATACA